AATTTATAAAATTGATTTTTTTAAAAAATATATATATAACTAATAATATATTTATTATTTTTTTTATAAAGAACAAAGCAATAGCATCACCAACTGAACCACCTACGCATCCATTATTTGCATATCAGTCAAAAAAAGCCAATCTACTTTGGTATTACCCTTGTCCTCAGTATCGCCACAAGTATCATCATTACAAGCATCTTCATCTTCAGCATCGTTGCAAATACCACCTTCAGCATCGTTGCAAATACCACCTTCAGCATCATTGCAAATACCACCTTCAGCATCGTTGCAAATACCACCTTCAGCATCGTTGCAAATACAACCTTCAGCATTATTACAAATACCTTCCGCATCATTACAAGCATTTTCACCTTCAACATTATTACCAGTACCAGCTTTATTGCAACCTAATCTAATGCAACAGCATAATTTTTTACAGCAGCCAATTTATCTGGAGCAATATTATATTCCACCACCATTTTATAATCCATTTATGTCATATTTTCCTTCACAAATTTATGGATTACCCCAAACGTCTATTCAGCCTTTATGATCAACTAGTAAACCTACTATTCAAGATTTTTTAAAATATGTAGATGAATGCGAAGGTACTGAAAGTCATTATCAAGGATTTTCATTAAATTTCGAACAACAAAAAATCTCTATACGATTGATTCCTAAGTTATCGAATGAAGACTTTGTGAAATGTAAAATCAATACTGTCGACGAACAGCAAATTCTTCGTGAATATGCTACAAGATATAATATGCAATTTACATTGTCAAATAATACATTATCTGTTGAAAAAACATTTACTTATAACCCGCCACATTAAAAAAACTACTAGCAAGTGATGAGGTAATTTGAGAACATGCAACATATAATGGGTATTTTGGATCTAAACAACTTTCTACAAAGTACTGATGTCTTTTTAAATAACTTTTTATAGACGAAAATGCTAATTCTATTGGGTTAAGATCTGGTGAATAGGGGGGAGAAACTCTACTCGTATGCCGAATGCATTTAAATATTCAATTAGACTGTCATCGTGATGTATTCTTGCATTGTCAAGTATTAAAACACTTCTTTTATTCGGAAACGAACCCATCTGTGGCAGCTAG